ATTTGATAATGTTTTTTTTTTTTTTTGGAATTTTGCCGTCATTGTCCATAAATTCACCGGTCTTTCTTCCAAATGCACCTCTGTCCTCATCTTTTTCTTTTGTCCTGTGTTTGAAGACATTTGTCAGTTGCATCTCTCATCTCTGAGATTTCTTACAGTCTTTTGGTAGCTGGGAAGGACATTTATGTGCACTGTAAGCATGAAGAGGACAGAGGTGAGTGGATGCCTCTGTGAAGGTGCTCTAGACTGGAAACTAGGTCTCCAGAGTGAGGAGGAAGACAGAGAAGGGAAGTGCCTGGAGAAACATCAGACGAAGGGAGTGAGAAAGCTGCTTGACTTTCTCACTGGGAGGAGACTCAGCGGGGTGCTACGCAGTAATCTGTCCTGGACGATGATATTATGTTTGGAATGGAAGTGGAAGGTCATCTTGAAATGCGAAGGGTACCAGAAGCCAGACCTAAGGCAAGATGGCCGCTGCCTCTAAGGCCTCCCTGGCAACCGGAAATGGGCTTTTTGAATGTATGTTTAATTCCTAAAGGCCCCTCTTTAGGGAATTTATTTTAATCGTTACAACTTTTAACTCATTCTTTAGTTCTGGTTTTTTTTCTGTCTTCTCTTAAGAATACATTATCAACTATTTGAGGATACTTGTTCTTATTCTACATACAGCCCTTACATTTTGATGCCCCTTATTTTTTTTATCATCTCCTCCCTCCATGCACCCCATCGGTCTTTAGCAGATTCTGACAGGGTTGTTTCTGAACATGTTTCTGTGAGGAATGGCACTTTAAAAACACGTGTGACAAGTGTCTTGGTGCAAATACAGACTTATGGGTGGATTCCCACACAATTTGTGTAGCTTTGTGCCTCTCCTTTGTCAGCTCCTTCAGATCAGGGATAGCTCCACAGTGGACCTTTGTGCAGAGCAGGTGCTCAACTGGGGCTCAGCGGTGGAGGAGACAATATGCTTCTTCTGTTACACCTGGGCCTTTTCAAATCCGAGCCTCATGAGAGCTTGTTCTGTAGCCATTTATTTTAGTCTCTTTCATAATTAATTATGACCATTGTTGAAATTTAGTTTTTCAGAGGCCCTACTCACCCTTGAGCTATTTCTGTTTATGATCTCTTAGAATCATGGCAATCTTTTCACTAATTTTTTTTTTACCTGTTTTTTATTTTTGAGAGAGAGAGACAGAGCATGAGCAGGAAAGGGGCAGAGAGAGAGGGAGACACAAATTCCAAAGCAGGCTCCAGGCGTCAGCTGAGCTGTCAGCACAGAACCCAATGCGGAGCTCAAACTCACGAAACGTGAGATCATGACCTGAGCAGAAGTCTGACGCTCAACTGACTCAGCCACTCGGGCACCCCTGCTAATTTTTAAAGGTGCTTTTCTAATTTATTGTTTGGGTGTCCAAAACCATGCCTGCTGGTTCTTTCTTTCACCGATTCTAATACCAGGATAACATTACAATTTTTTTTGGCCAGATTTCTATCACCTTTACATCCGATTATGTTGACATACTTAAGCAAATTGTGCTTCTTCTATCTTCTGATACCTAAGAATATCAATCAGGTTCACCAAGAACTTATCAACTATTAGAATATGAGTTTTAGTAAATGTACAAAAGTTGTACATCTTACGTTGATCACTACAGCATCGTACAGTGCTGCCAGTTTCATAATCCCTGCTAGGGAAGCATGGTCCCCTTCACTTGATGAGGTGTACAGTCTCTTCCCCTAAAAGCATGGTTTCCATTGTTACCTTTCATCCTTATCCAGGTGTTTTCAACCATTGAAAAAAAAAAAACCTTTAACATATTGCTGAACTCCCTTACTCTGTTACACAGTTTCTACGGAACAAGGTCTACCCCTGTTTCAGCAGAGTGTTAGCATCTCTGTTCTCTGTAAGCACTCTGTTTGGGCAAAAGAAAACTTGGGAGTTATCTCCGAATCTATCCAGTACTATAGAAGGGAAAGGCTCTGGATGTGCAGAAATGAAACCCAGTCCATTTCTCAAATTTGCCTGTGGCTCTTGTCCACATCACTTAACGGATCTCAGCCCCGATCTTCTGCAAAATGAAGTGCAAAGATAAGATTGGGCTTGGGTTTCTTCTGGGTCTTAAAGTCTTTCTTTGGTTTCGTTGGAGAGAAGTGGCTGCTGTGTCCAATTCTGCTAAAGCTGCTTAGATCTCATGGCAAGGTCTTGTCTTTAAGAGGATTTTTGAACCAAATAATTTTCAGCGGCATACAGTGATTTCTCAAAAGGGTCTCATAAAAGCAACATTTATCATTTAAAAGGTGTTTAATAACACCTTTAATAAATGTTAAATAATAATGCACTTAACTTTAAGTACTTTGCATCTTTTTCTCTCTGTGTTAATGTCTTTAATTGGATCCTCTAGCACGGGATTTGGACTTAATTTATTGCAGGTGATGCTACACTTATACAATTATTCAGTTGACTTAATTAGAGATTTAATTATATTAGTGCCCTAAAGTGCTATATCAGAGAAGTTAAATGCACACTGGTAATTCCCTTTTTTATATTTTATTGTGTCACTTTTCCTACGGCTAAAATGGTTTTCAAGCCATAAAATCCAGAGTGAACATTCCAGCACCTCTAGCCATACCCTAATATGGAAAGTTCCATCTACGCATTAGTTGAGGATTTGCCCAGTCAAAATGAAGGTGAAGGCAAAAGTGGGGAGGATTTTTCTAATCGTGGGCTTACCTCTTGCAGTTATTAGAACCAAGGCTATAGTTCCAGGACTCAGTAGTCCTTTCAGCCCCCTCTGTTTCCTCAGCCCTAGGACAGCCCTTTACAGGTGGTCAGTCCTAGGAGACAGCAACTGTGTTTGTCTCTGTATCTCCCACCCATACTACATACCTAGGCCATTTGGTTCCCAATACATGGTGGCTGGATTGAATTTGATCATTGCAAAGACAACCCCTTGGAAGTGTGGTTAAAACAGTATAAACCCAACCCAACTATTTTAAAATATAGTAACTCAAAATACATACCCCAGCAAGTAAGTTACTCCCAAATCTGGCCAATCATTGAAACGACCTGAGAAGCATTTTTAGGCCTTATTGAACCCATCTCTAGGATTGGGGCCCAGGTTCTGCATTTTAAAGTTCCCTAGGTGAATCTTCTGGTCAATCAAGTTTAGGAATTCCAGTTTAATATATGTTTTGTCACATTTATTTACAAAGGATAAGATTGTTTTGTCAGGATAGATCAATCGCCTATTCTAATTTATAGGGTAAAAGTCTCATTTATGGTCTGTTGATTATATCTAAAGGATTACTTTTTTTTTAATGTTTATTTTTGAGAGAGAAGGCAGAGCATGAACGGGGGAGGGTCAGAGAGAGAGGGAGACACAGAATCCGAAGCAGGCTCCATGTTCTGAGCTAACTGTCATCACAGAGCCCAACATGGGCTCAAACTCACGAGCCGTGAGATCATGACCTGAGCCAAAGTCCAATGTTTAACCATCTGAGCCACCCAGGTGCCCCACTAAAGGATTACTTTTGAGCCAATAGTTTAGGTTTAGTTGGTAGAAGTGTATACAGATGTCTGTGAGAAGTAATACCTTCCATGAAGGATTAGATTACTGCTGAATCATGAAATGGACATTTTACTTATGGAAGCTTTCAGGTCCCTCAGTATACAAAGCCTACCTCTGTAGAGAGAAGATTGAGTGTCAGTTGGAAATACAGCAGCCATCGGTGAGAGGAATTAACTCTTTTAGGGTTCATTGATAACCTCCTGGGTACTCTTGCCCTAATCTGAATTACCTGTCATTGTAGAGATTAAGTACCATACAAGTCACCATCAAATACTCAGTTGGGCCTAGCTGAATGAAGTTTATAAAGTAATCTAAATGAAGCAATCAGAGAAGTGCAGCATGTAAAACATTGCACAATACAGCCTGGTCCTTCAGAAATGGTCTTATCATAGGGAAGAAAATACTAAAGTGTCATAAAAAATTAATGCAGTGTGTAAACCAGGATTCGTCATGATTCGGGGGGGGGGGGAGAAGGTAAAGAAATCATTTTAGAGCCAATTGGGGAAATATGCACATGGGCTAGATATTAGATAATGATAGAGAATTATTGTTAACTTCCTTATTTATGACAATAATATTCTGGCTATGTTCGAGAACATTCTTAGGAGCTTCATGTCAAAGCAAGGGTGAAGCATCCTGCAGCCCAACATGTGTCCAAGCTGAGTCCTACCAGCCCAAAGCCTATAGTTAAATATTTCAGAATTCTGTGATTCCACAACCCTTGGTAACTTGAAATCAGCCATGATGGGAGTTTTTATACCACAAAAATCTGCAAATGCTTCAGATAGGGTTTCTTTTCTCCTCCCCTGGAGAGCTAATTTATCAGCATACTACTGACCACAGCTTATTTTCAAATGATTCAGAAAACCCGTACATACAGATAGCTAGAACAAAAATAGCAAAATACTGACAATTATTGAATGCAGGCAGAAGACATACAGTCATTCATTGTGCTAGTGGGGGAGTCCGCAGACTTTCTGTAAAGGCTGAAGTGTAAGGACTGTGAGTGTCTTAGGCTCTGTGGGCCAGTACGGTCTCTGTGGCAGCTGCTCTGCCAATATAATACTTACCTGAATGGGCATGGATATGTTCCAATAAAACTTTATTTATAAAAACGGGGCCAGAGTGGGCCTGGGGCCAAAGCTTGCCAACTCCTGTGCTAGTCTTTGCATTTTTCTGTACTTTTAAAATAGTGGTAATAACAAATTTTTTTAAGTTCGGATTTCTTAGCCTAGTTTTCGGGGCCCTCCAGGACCCCCTAATACTTAACTCCTGTAAGGCCTGTCACACCAGTCTGTCTTTATTCCTTGGACACTGCACTCTGATCTCCTCTGTGCCTCTGTTCAGACCCTTCTCTTTCATAGAATTCCCTTGCTACCCTCAACCCCATAACTGTTTATCAACATTCTCAAGGCATGCCTCAAATCTCACCTACTCTAGAAGGTCTTCTTGAATCTCTTCCAACTGAAGTTGATCTCTCATTTCTTTGATCCTCTGTAGTCCTACATATGTCCCTTAGTTTTTCTGCTGTTTACAGTGTAACCCTTAATTACTTCCTGATACACAAAGCAGAGAAGGATCATTTTACTCCTTACACATAATAGGTGCTCAATTAATATTTGCAAATTGAAATCCAGTCATGTACCTATTATCTGTGTGCCTGCAAGTACCAACCTAGAAGTCTAGAATAGAGAATGTTGGCCTGCCTAATTTAGGTTTGGAGGAATTAAAGATAATGAAAATAGGGGGAATGTTCTCTTTCTTTCTCTCTCCCTCTTTTCCTCCTTCCCTCCCTTCTCTCTCCCCTTCCTTTCTTCCTTCCTCCCTTCCTTTCTTGTCTGATCCAGCTCCAGCTACTTTTCAGGTTGTTGTACATCAAGTTAAAATACATTTCATCTTGGTGGATAGGTTGGCCTTCCAAGGGCCTGAAGAGGATGAAGAATTAAGTCATTCTAAATATTTATAGTGTTTTAGACACTGTCAAACACTCGGTGCTGTCTCATGTCATTCCCCCGGTAGTCCTGCAAGGGACTGATATTATCCCGAGCAGTTAAATGGCTCCTCTAAGATTATAAAGCTAGAATGGGAGTTTGAATCTGGCTGCCTCTGATACTCAGCACCATTTTACTACCTTCATGCATTCAGTGATTGCCAAAAGACGAGGGAATCCTAGGCTAAAATAGTCCTGAAGTTCATATGCAATGTGGCAGTACCAGCGCGGCAGTGAGATTCTGGCACAGTATAGTATTCAGTGATGCTGGACTGGCTGTTAGAAACCCTGGCTTCTGACCACAACTGTGCCGCTGTCACCTATGAGATTGGGTGAGCTACTGAGCTTCTCTGGGCCTCTGTTTTCTTATGTGTGTAATTACAGGAATAAAGCAGACTTTATGTGACATGCAGTGTGCAGAAGCTTAGAATCTAATGAAGAAATAGATCTGGGAGTGGAGACTGAAGTACAACACTGTATAATTATGCTGTACACCAGATATGCATGGGGTACTTGGGGAGCCCCGAGGAAGAGGGCCACTTAGCTCCTTAGGGCTCTCATCCTAGCTGAGTGTATTCTGCTCCAGTGGACTTTGGAACATTTGAAGGTAGGGGGTGGATATGGGAACAGCCTCCAGGGAGGTGATTACTGCAAGCCGTTTCCCTAAACAATGATGAAAGGGACAAGGGATGCGGGGGGACAGGCTGGACAAGAGCGAGATCAGGAAAGGACGTCCATTGCCTCATGAAAGAGCTTAGACTCTCTTAAGGCTACTGGAAGGTAGTGAAGGGTTTTAAGCATGATCACATTCGCATTTTATGAAGACCTCCTTGGCAGCATGACAGATGGCATCCAGGGCAAAGACCTGGTGGTGGCAAGACTCTTTAGGAGGTGGTTTGCATAAAACAGCCCAGGCAAGGGATGATGATAGCCCAAACTAATATGGCAATGAGAATGAGGAGTGGAGGATAATTGGAGAGCTGTAAAAGAGGTAGCATGGCTAGGACTTAGTGACTATATCAGTCAGGACAGCCTCAGACAGCCTCACAGTCTCAGTGGCTTCAGACAACAAAGGTGTGTTTCTTGCCCACACCACATGTCCCCTGCAGGTTGGAGAGCTCAGTGTGGGCGTTCAGGAATCCAACATGAGGAGCTTCTCCCGCTATGACTGATTGATCCACCAGGGGGAAAGCTCTAGAGGGACTCACGTGGGTGGTTAAATGCTGCGGCCCAGAAGTGACATACATTATTCACAACTCATGGACTAGAACTTGTCCCCTGGCCCCACCCAGTCTCTGGGGGCCAGAAAGTTCAGCCATGGTGACTGACTGGAAATGGGGCATGAAGGGGGACTCCCCCCCACCCCCAGGTTTCTGATTTAGGGAGTTAGGCAGAGGTATTCACTGAGAAAGAGAAAATGGAAATGGGGAAAGGGAAAGGGGACAGACCTAATCATTATCAATCTTTTTCAGTTCTAAAATATAACCCTTTTATTGGTCCTTCCCCGTCTCAGAGAGAGATTAGAAACCAATTCCAATTCCAGTTGTTGGCAAGAGTTTATTCTTTACAAAGGGGTGTTTCGGTTCATTCTAACCAGTCAAATAAAGGCTCTTAGTTCTAAAAATGGAGTGTTCAGATCTAAACTAGGTGTCTTTCTTGAATTTTCGTATGGACTATTCTGTCAGCATACAGGGTGAAAAAAAAAAAGTTACTAACTAGGATGTTAATGAAGCCTCCTTCACATAAGAATATCAGGCTGCTTAATTCAAAATGCCAGACATGTAAATGCCCTCTGCCTTCATTACCGCCATCCCCCAGCAGGGCACATTTCAAGATATCAAGGGGTGGGAGTCAGGGAGGAGGTGTAATTAGGCTGATTGGAGCCTATTGTGCCGCTCTGGAGCATAGACACCTAGCAGCCTTAGGGAATGTTAGTGCCTCAGAATCATTGGGGAATGATGTCCTCTACCTCAAAAGAACACAGCAGAAACAATGAATCTATTTTATGTTCCCCCCTTCTTTGTTTTCCACCTCCCCTCCCCAATTTAATTGTGGTACCTTGAAAACTGACTTTTATTGTGCATTTGTTTCTTAACAGTTGCGGGAAACAATCAAAGCTGGCAAAGGTGTGACTTCAGCTATTGACCTGTGTCGTTACCATGGAAACAAGGCACTGGAGGCCCTGGAGAGCTTTCCTCCCTCGGAGGCCAGATCTGCTTTAGAAAACATTGTGTTTGCTGTGACCAGATTTTCGTGACACCAAATTAAAAAGACACTATTGTTCGTTAGCTGGAAAAAAAAACAACTGGGAAATGAGGTGATCGGGAGAGCTTTCATGATGAAATATCTAGATGTGTTAATGACTTTAAAAACAGAATACATTTCTTCCCCTTCCTTTTATCACATTGCTAAATGAATACTGCCTTCTTTTTTGGAACTGCTACAAACAAAATTAGAAGAAAAAAAAAAGGTCAAGCAGTTTTCACTTGTCACGCCAGAAGCACACTTGAGGCTGCAGTAGCAGAAATAATTAATGAGATTCGCTCCTGTGACCTCAGCAAATGGACAGGAAATAAGTCCTTATTGATTGGACCGAGCCAGGGATGGCGCCAGGGCGGTGGCCTGTGGTTTTCCTTCTAGAGAGAGGACAGAGTGAGCTAGAAGCTGCAGGTGTCATGAGAAACACTATCACGGCCAGCCAGGGAGGACTGTCAAATCAAAAACCAGTGACCAGTCTGTCATAATGGAGGGTCGTTCGGTGATTAAGAAAAAAAATGTGCTTTGTCTTCTTGCAATTATGTCTCTGTATTTATAGGTACAGTATGAATATACTTTGCGCTTCATGGTTTTTGTAACATTTTTTTAGAAAAAATTGCTAAAAAAATAATGCCAAATATTCGAAGCTAGAAGATTAAAACACTGTCAACTGTTAACTTTGTTGTGGTAGGAATGGCTTATTTTTCTTTCTAGGAGACCAAATATTTTTCAAACACATTTCTAAGAACCAAACTTTTTTTCTTTAAGCCTGAACAAAATGCTTTTTTTCAAGTACGTTGTATTCATTTGTAATTTTTTGGTGCAGAGAATACCTTTAACTTCTACAAGTATCAGATATATAACTTGTTCTGGGGAATATACTGGTGGCTTTTTTTTTTTTTTTTTTTTTTTAGTTCAGAATGTCAAATTTTGGTCTTGAACCACAGACCTCCAATTACAGAGAGAATATAAGCAACCTCCCAGGCCTGCAATCAGATACTGTCTCTGTGTGGTTCATAGGAGATGATTTTTGCGGTTTGCACGCATGCAATCTGAGAACACCGTTGACAAGAAGGCTGAGTTTACATAAATGATCTAGATTGAGACTCAGCTACCTTTCTTCCTTATGTGGTGTAATCACAGCCCTGTCTGGAGACAGTGAACACGGCAAACAGATTTTATTACCTCATTCGCTCAAACATCAAGTGAAGTTATTTTAGTTTAATTCCTCCCCCCCCCCCCAAAAAAAAAGTTACAAAACCATTTTATCAGGACCTGGCATGTGATATGCAATGAAGAGAAAATGTGAGTGACAGAGGTTAAGGTATCGTATTACAAAGATTTTTTTAATATTCTTAAAATGTTGTAATTGTGCTGTTTATGCTACTATAATTTGAAGGCCTGTAGATTTAGCAAAAGTGAACACTCTTCTGTTTGAAATGGTCTTTTCTCACAGAAATTGGCTTAATTAGTAACTATGGTTAGATGCTTTAGATCAGAGTAGGTTTTAATCATTAACTTGCACTAAGGAGGAGCCGAGCTCTGTGTTCTCTGAGGTGCAGGAACTTATGCAGAGTGGTAGTTTTTATTAAGCAGTTGGTCAGGTACCACAAGACAGGAGCGCTCTTCTAATTCTGGTTTAGCAGCTGGTTTGCTGTGTGACCTTGAGCTAGTCACTTCCCTCTGAGCCTCCACTTCCTCATCTTTGAATAAAGTTAAATGAAAGAATGTATGAAGTCCCTACCAGCTTTGTTTCATTCTCTCAAAGTCTGCCATTTCTGGGGCGCCTGGGTGGCTCAGTCGGTTAGGCGTCTGACTCTTGATTTCTGCTCAGGTCATAATCTTATGATGATTTGTGAGTTCGAGCCCATGTCAGGCTCTGTGCTGACAGTATAGAGCCTACTTGGGATTCTCTTTCTCTCTCCCTTTCTCTCTCTGTCCCTCCCCTGCTCATGCACACACACTCTCTCTCTCTCCCCCAACCTCTCAAAATAAATAAACTTAAAAAAAAAAAAAAAAAAAACAGTCGGCCATTTCTGACTCTGGATAACAAAGATGCTATGTGAGGTTCAGGGAGGTGGAGAGGTGAAGAAACTCAGGGAGAGGCTATGAATGAATGTATAAAAGTTTACAGCAAACGTCTTCCTAAACTGCCTTGAAGCTTAGGGCCTCAAGGATCCCTTTGTATGGCATGTAATCCCAGACTCTTCTGTTTAACACCTGCCTTTCTGCTTTCTCTGGACTCTTCCTACCTCCCTTTCATCTCCCTGACTTGGGTGTCCCGCCCTCATCGTTGATTGACAGACAGCCCTGCCTCTGTCCTCAGGCTCAGCGGAGTTCCCACTTGCCAGCCTCCTGGCAGGCTTTTATTAAACCTAACAGGTTGGTTCATTCACCCTAAGGTGGTCAATACTGACACTCTTTCTTCATGCCCCTTTTTCAGGGACATTTGTTAACTCTTACATCCTTATAATTTCAGACAATTGAGGCAGAAATGTGGGGCACCAAGACATACCTAATCACACCCCTTGGCCTGCCTCCTGGGTGCAGGCTCTGCTTACTAGGTAAGACTCTGGCCTCTGAATGTCCCCTTACCCCCTCTCTGCTGCCCTCCATTCCCAGTTTCTTGTTACAGGGAAGAATTCATTCCTTAGATGTTGTGCTGGTCCCCCCAGCTTGCAAGTTGGACCTTCCAAACCTCATGCACTTCAGGCTCCTGAAAGCACCCACACTCTCTTTCCTATCAGTCTTTGTCAAGTGTGTTAAGGCTGCAATAGTGAAGGCCCAAAGTGCGTGCCATCTTGTTCGGGTCCCACAGTCACGCTCTGGGGGTAAGCATACGCCCATTGCAGATGGAGAAGCAGGCGGAGGGGACCACCTCTGATCACCTGGCCTGCCCTCACTCCGCATCTCCCCACCAGCATCTTTCCAGGTAGCGCCTCTTTCTTGCTTTCCTTGCCTCTCTTTCCTCCTTTCCAAGATCTCGAGCCTGTAGCCTTCCTGCCTCCTTCATGACCCCATTCCTGAATTGTCAGCGTCTCCTCTGCTGGCTGGCTGTGCTCCATCCTCCCTGTCCCCTAAAATGAGATTCCTCCCTTCATGCTCTTTATCCTTCTTCCTACACTTTTCTTCCTCCCAGCTTTACCAACTACACCTTCTTACAGCCTGCTAACTCCTGAGCCCTCGCAGCTGGTCACGCACTAGCTACCAGGTCCCCGTCACCTAGACCAGTGCCAGTGCTTTAGACACTCCAAGAATATCTGTTGGACAGATTATTGGGTCTCTCACTGCACAACACTGAGACGGACTTCTGACAGAAGGTGGCCTTTGTGCAAAGTTAGTGAGCTGTATCCCCACATACAGACTTCCCCACTGCGTGCCATGTCACTAACCTAACCACCCCTCTCCCTTGGTGCCCTTGACCCACCTCTGTGTAGATTCTTACCCCTTCCCTGACTGTCCTCCATACCTGGCACATCTCTTAGTCGTACCCCTGGAGACATTCTTTCATAAATATTTAAAGGGTACCTGGTTGGTTCAATCAGTTGGGCGTCCAACTTCGGCTCTGGTTATGATCTCACAGTTCGTGAGTTCCAGCCCCACATGGGCTCGCTGCTGTCCGTGCAGAGCCCGCTTCAGATCCTCTGTCTTCTCTCTGCCCTTCCCCTGCTCTCACTCCCTCTCAAAAATAAATGAAACATTAAAAAAAAAAGAAAAATAAGCATTTGAATTCTATTTCCTCAGAAACTTAAAAGCAGTTTCCTGCCCCACTAAGTCTTTTTCTTTTAAATTCTCCAACTTAGGAAAACTGTTCTCTGGCATTAAAAAAACAATATCCACGAGATACCAATTTAGATAGTGAGCTGTTTGCCATCACAACTACTTTGAAAGGAGATTCAGTTTATGATGATCATTAAACTTTGTTGTAAGTTTTACTTGATGATAACACTAAATCCTCTTCATGTTTTCTTGCTTACGTAATGTGGTTCTCTGGTCACACCTAAAAATAAATTTATCAGTGACATTGTTTGCCTGGTCCAGGGCTCATTCACTAATGTTTGAGACTTTATCTTACCCATGACAGTATTATTGCTATGGCCCAGGATGTGCATGACGCTACCAGCTGAGGTAAAAGACATACACATACATTAGTATTAAATGCTCCAAAAAGATAGAGGCCTTTTTTAGGCTCAGTATCTACCACCCATTAAACTCTAGTCACCAGAAAGTAGTCGGAATAATCCATGATGATCTTTTTTCAAACCTGACAAGTTGTTATAACATGGCCCTCTTGGGGCCAGCAAGTTTGGGGGAATTGTGTGTAATCAACAAAATTGCAGCGAAAGGATACTTCTTCTTTTTTTTAATACTAACTAATCAGCAGGTTCATCACTGATAAGAAGAACCTTGCTTTCCAGAAAACTGTTGTCAAGCTCCTTCCTAGAGTTCTTAGTTTCTGGAAGATCCTTTCCTGCCTCTTCATTTGTCTTCCCACTTTGAAATCCTGTTGCTAAGATCACGTTTCTGACCAATGGAAGCTTCAGGATTTATCTTTATGATTCATAATAGCTGCTCTCAAGGTAGAGAAGACATGCCACACCTTTGTTAAAGTACAAAAGGGCAGAAATGAACTGGGTTGCTTCTTTAATTCCTTAAACTGTGAGGACATAATTGTCATTCCATTATTATAAATATTTTCAATTAATGTTAATCATGTTCTAGTAGTAATAAAGTTATTTGCACTCTCTTTTAAAAGCACAAAGCGATCTAACAGTAATCATTTGCCTCTTTCTTTTCCCTACCTTCAGCCCTGATCTCAAATTAACTGTTTTATTCTTTCAGAATGGGTCCTGCCTTTCCCCAGTTATACTAGAGATAACATACTTCTTTTTTTTTTTCATAGATTTCTATTTTATTTTGTTTTATTTATTATTTTTTAATGTTTATTTAGTTTTGAGAGAGAGAGTGTGTGTGTGTGTGTGTTTGTGTGTGTACGTGTGAGAGAGCAGGGGACAAGCAGAGAGAGAAGGAGACACAGAATCTGAAGCAGTCTCCAGGCTCCAAGCTGTCAGCCCAAAGCCTGATATGGGCCTCAAACCCCCAGACCTCCAGATCATGACCTGAGCTGAAGTTGGATGCTTCACCAACCGAGCCACCCAGGTGCCCAGTAGATAACATACTTCTAAAGGTGACTGAAAAACAAGTGACTTTGACCTGAGCCAAAGTCAGATGCTTACTGAGCCACTCAGGTGCCCCACTTTCTAGGCATTTTAATGATGCCCCCCACCTTACATCATGAACTCCATTGTGTACATAATGTGTACTTAACATAATGTGAACTTATACATGTGTACATAAATTATGATCAATTTATTGTGAACTTCCTAATTGCTGCCTATTTATGCAATTTTATACCATGCTTCTCTTTCCTTTTAACCTTCTTTCCTTCTTTTTTCGAAGATTAGAATGGCTTTAGTTGCATTCTTTTTTATTTTTTTTAAACTTTTTATTTCTAGGAGAGAGAGAGAGACAGCATGAGCAGGGGAGGGTCAGAGAGAGAGAGGGAGTCACAGACTGAAACAGGCTCCAGGCTCTGAGCTGGCAGTCAACACAGAGCCCGACGCGGGGCTCGAACCCACGAACCGCGAGATCATGACCCAAGCGAAAGTCGGACGCTTAACCGACTAAGCCACCCAGGCGCCCCGTAATTGCATTCTTTTTTAAAAGCAGCTTTACTGAGTACAATTTACATACCATAAAATTCACCTAGTTTAGTTATACAATTAGAATGATTTTTAGTAAATTTACAAACTTGTAAAAGTGTCACCACAGTTCAGTGTTAAAGATCCTTTCTGCCCATTTGCAGTCAACCCCTGGGCAGCCATGAATCTACTCTCTGTCTCTATAGATTTGCCTTCTCTGGACATTTTGTGTAAATGAAATTATACAGTATTCTTATCTGGTTCCCATCATTTAGCATAATGTTTTTGAGGTTTATTCATGTTGTAACATTAATCATTATTCCTTTTTATTGCTAAATAGTGTTCCGTTCTAGGGATATGCCACAATTTGTTTAGCTATTGCCAATCAGTTGATTGGCATTTGGGTTGTTTCTCCTCTTTACCTATTACGAATAATGCTGCTATGAATATTCAAGTACAGGTCTGTATGTGGACCTTAGCTCTCATTTCTCTTAAGTAGATTTTCAAGAGTAAAATTTATGGTATATTTATGTTTAACATTTTAGAAATTGCTAAGCTACTTTCCAAACTAGTTGTATCATTTTACATTTCTACCAGCAACATATGTAGATTCCAATCTCTTCACATCTTTGCCAACCCTTGGTATTCCTTTTTTATTATAGCTATTCTAGTAGGAATGAGATGCTATCTCATTGTGATTTTTATTTGCATTTCCTGAATGACTAGTGATGAACATCTTCTCATGAGCAAATGAACCATTCATATTTCTTTGATGAAAGATCTGTTCAAACATTTTGCCCATTTCTTAATTGGGTTATTGTCTTCTTGTTGAGTTAGAAGCATTCTTGATATATTATGGATACAGGTTCTTTTTTTTTTTTTAAGTTTATTTATTTTGAGAGAGAGAGAGAGAGAGAGCAGAGTAGGACCAGGGCGGGGGGGGAGGGGGGGGAGGAGAGAATCCCAAACAGGCTCTGCAGTATCAGCTCAGAGCTCAACATGGTGCTCAAACTCATGGAACCGTGAAACCGTGACCTGAGTCAAAATCAAGAGTCAGATGCCTAATTGACTGAGCCACCCATGCACCCCACAAGCTCTTTATCAAATATATGATGTGCAAGTATTTACTCCCAGTTTATGACTTGACTTCATTTTCAGAATGGTGTCTTTTGAAGCATACAAGCCTTTAATTTTGATAAGTCAAATTTATCAACTTTTGATTTTGTAGATCATGCTTTTGGTATCATATCTAAAGAATCCTTGCCTAACCCAAAGTCACAAAGATGGTTTCCAATGTTCTTTTCTAAAAGTTTTATAATGGTGTGCCTGGGTGGCTCAGTCGGTTAAGCGTCTGACTCTGGCTCAGGACATGATCTTGCAGTTCGTGGGTTTGAGACCTGCATCAGGCTCTGTGCTGACAGCTCAGAGCCTGGAGCCTGTTTTGGATTCTGTGTCTCCCTCTCTCTGTACCGCTCCCCCACTCATGCCCTGTCTCTCTCTGTCTCAAAAATAAATAAGCTATAAAAAAATTTTAATAATAAAATAAAAGTTTTATAGCTTTAGCTCTTAAGTTTAGGTCTATGATTAATTTTGAATTGATTTTTATGTATGGTGTGAGTTAAATCAGGGCTTCTCATCATCAGCACTGTTGGCTCATTGGGCTGGATCTTTCTTTGCTGTGGGGGTAGGGTCTGTCCTGTGAATTGTTTGATATTTAGCAGCATCTCTTGTTTCTACTGGATGTAAAATGTCAGTAGCACCCCTGCCCACAGTTGTGATAACCAAAATTGTCTCCAGACATTGCCAAATGTACTCTCCCTTTGGGAACCCCAAGTCACCCCATTGAAAACTAGTACATTAAATTAATTTTTTTTGTATGTGGTATCCAGTTGTTCTAGAACCATCTGTTGAAAAGACTATTCTTTCCCCATTTGAATTGCTCTGGCAATGTTGTAGAAAATCATTTGACCAGGAATATAAGGGTGTGTTTCTGAACTCTTAATTCTGTTCCATTGATCTCTATGTCTGTCTTTAAGGCAGTACCAAACTGTCTTAATTACTATAGCTTTATATTAAGAGTTAAAATTGGGAAGCATAAGTCTTCCAACTTTTCTTTTTCATCAAACTTTTTATTTTTAAGATAATTGTAGAGTCACAGTTATAGAAAATAACGCAGAGAGATCCCATGTACCCTATACAGTTCCCCCCAGTGGTAACATCTTATAAAACCATAATACAGTACCACAACCAGGATAATGACATTGATACAATCCATCAATCTTATTCAGATTTCCCCATTTATACTTGTAGTTCTTTTTAAAAATTGTTTTGGAGGCGCCTGGGTGGCTCAGGCGGTTAAGCAACTGACTTCAGCTTGGGTCATGATCATGGTTCGTGGGTTCGAGCCCCACGTCCAGCTCTGTGCTGACAGCTCGGAGCCTGGAGCCTGTTGCAGATTCTGTATCTCCTTCTCTCTCTGACCCTTCCCTGCTCA